GCATATTGCACTAAAAGAACATACTTTTAGCCACTAAAAATCCCAAACTGTGTCAACATTTTTTTAAATCCAAAAAATCCTATTTAAATTTTAAAAATCTGTTAAATTTTAAAAATCTATTTTTTTATTTTCAAAATGCAAGCATAAGTGACTGTTTTCCATTTTTGTGTGTGAAGTCCTCTCATTTGGCTTTGCATTTGCTTTTTTTTTTCATTTTCTGTGACAGCTTGATATAACTCCTATCTGATTTTCATTCATTCTTCTTGTTCTTTCATTTCACCATCCGCAGCTCAATTTTTCCTTTTTCATTCTGGAGAAAAGCATTTACCTGCTCCATCCTACTCAGGAGACTTTCTAAAGATTTTATTTTATCGGGCAGCATTCAGTGCATTCAATTACCAGCTTTGGACATGTCTTAATATTTGCGTTAACAATATCAGGGGGGTTGTGTAGCTATGTTTTCGAAGTAGCGGCCTGTTCGTCAATTGTGTTTGTGTTCATAAAAATTTTCTTTGATAAAAGCTCCTGAACAGTTGGAGTTGTTCTATTTTTCTTTTTTGTGTCCTTTAGCAAATTATGGTTGTATTCAATAAACAAAAGATCTGAGTTTTGCAACTATGATGCAGACATTGCAAATTAATTTGACCCACACAGGTACAAAAAACTAACCTCATTATCTATCTGCCTCTCTTTGGACAAATAATGAATGAGATCTATAACATTTTCGTACGTCAAGCTTTCATTTCCAACTTAATTAAACAAGTACAAGGGGTTAAAAATATTCATTGTTCAGTCAATGTCACAAGCATCCAGGAAAAAAGACACAGTTCACTTTCAGTGGCCTCAGCAAAAATCCACACAGAATGTCACTTTCCAGAGTCAGTGTTTTCTGCACCACATTCACACCTTCCTGACCACACAAATGGTGTCAAAGATGAGTTTTGAAAAAAGTTTCTGAAACCACTCCTTTTCATTTTCCCTTGTTCTCCAACTAAGTGACGCATTACGAAAATCTTGTTGGTAGCAGGAACATCCAGAGGGTCTGGCTTCCTCCCTTTTCCAAGATGAATCATTGTGGCACACAGACCACTGTACATTTCTGCATCTGTGGATTAAATTCATAAACAAAAAAGTTTAAATAAATTCTGAAGCACACTGGCCATTGTAAGTTTTTGCTTCTGTGGATCAAAATCACATGATATGGAACATTTAAATTTTAATTCTGAAACAATGAGGGGTATTACAATTTCTAGATAGAAATATTTAAAACTAATTTTTCTGCAACTGTAACCTTTATCAAGCATCTTAGGGCTAAAAGTTCTGAGTAAAAATAAGTTGTGAAATAATGACAATGACGTGATTAATGTGAAGAATTACTTTTATACCAATATATTCTAAAACTGTACACTGGAAATCTAGCACAGATTGTATCTCATTCCCTAACATGCTGTGAGTAAAAAACACCAACATAGGATTTATAAAACGGATCTTGCACCCCTCAGTCATGCTCTTTGCGTTCAACAATGTGCACAACCAAACCGAAAGTTAATAAACATACCTAATGTTTACAGAGGTACGGTACAACCAAGGACAACAGTCATCAGAATTACACATTCCACACTCATATAATCTCTTTGTGCACATTCCCTCTTTTTCTGTCATTCTCTCTCTCTATTACTATATATTGCAACCTCACATATCACCAGTCTAAAAGAAAGGGACCCATTTATTTAAAGGGCAAAAAAATCTTGTCTAAGGATAATTTCAATTTAAAAATGCAGCACAAATTTTATTTAAGTCAAAATTTTCAGGGAAAACTCTTGTCATCTGTGCATCAATTTCAATATAAAACTTTGCTTAAAATTTAACGGAAGGGATGTCAAATAATTTGTCAGTATGAAGGCAGAAAAGAAAAGAAAAAACGAAGTTGAGAATAAAAGTATTTTAAAATTTCAATCAAAGTTCAAACCTTGGTAAAAAGCTAAACTTTACACCTCTTAAATCAACCATAATAAAAAAAATGTGTACGAAGATGTAGGCCTACATTAAATACAGTGTACATGATTTATCCAAAACTGATACATGTAGTGTTGTAGACGGGATGTCTAAAAATAGGAGGACCCATTCAAAGTCACTGTTTCCCTTTAGGGGGTTTTCGGGTTTTTTTGTTTGTTTGTTTTAAAGACATGAGTATAACAGGAAATAACCCGTATACAATTGAATGGTTTAAGATGAAACAAGATGACTCAATGTTGGACAGAGGGTCCAAAGAATCTACCCAGAAACATGCCATTTCAAGCTGCGTATTCGAGCTTGAGACAAAAAATGGTCAACTACTGGACAGCCCCCCTTTCCCTGAGATTATTTGACTCTATGTCAGTTTTGAATAAATTCACTTTAGGGCACAAATTCACATTCGTTATGGTTGATCAAACAATTTCGGACACAGGCATGAAGAAGGAATGATTACAAATTTTATGAAAATGCAAGATTAAGATGAAACTCTATATATATACAATTATGTTGTGTAATGTAAACCCCTCTAGCCCTCTCTTGTGAAATTCCATCTCACAAATGAAAACCCCAGAAAAGGAGGAAGATGGACAGAAGTGACAAAATTGTGTTTATAGAACTGCATGGTAAATCATTGAACATGTTTTTTATGTTTGCTCAATGTTTACATTTAAAACCAACAGACACATTGCTTGCAAGCATTGGACTGTTTTTAAATTTTTTAGTGAAGTCTAGATTTATTAACTGTAAACTTAATAATTTATTGAATGTCAGATCAAATCAAGTGTGACTGAGGAGAATAAAAACATTAACAAATAAATCACAAACAATGTAACAAAAATAATAATTCAGATATATATTGCAG